CTGTGGAGCAGTGGAACTGTGTTCCCTGGAGTGATAGAGCTCCATCCAATACCTTTGGGATGAGCTGGAGTGGCAGAACTAATCATCCAACATCAGCACCTGACCTCACTAATGCACTTGTGGCTGAATGCAGTCAAATCCTCACAGCAATGTTCCAACATCTAGTGTAAGGCCTTCCCATAAAAGGAGAGGCTGGCACTGCTGCAAAGAGGGGACAAACTCTCTGTTGATACCCTTGATTTCAGAAGAAACTTTGAGTGGTGTCTACAAACGTTTGGACATATATAGTGCAACACAGTGCAACTTTAAGTCCCTTTGATGAGTGCTGAAATGTCCAGTCCACAGGTTTAGTCCCCAAGGCCATCTTCATGCCCCTTTGATGACTCTCCCTTCCCCTTGAACCAACATTAGACACTTTCCCTGGTTAGTCTGTTTTGCAATTTGGTCAGTTTTTGCAATTTGTTGCTTTCTTTAATGTAAGTTTAGTTCAGTTTGAAATAATGTAATTTCACTTTTGATACTAAGGGTATTAAATAGATAAACCTCTTATAAACTTTTTCATCCTGTTTCTCTCTGTCGCTTTTGTGTAAACGGAACAGACTCAGCTGAACTTCTAAGATGTGGCCCAAATGCCGAAGCTCTCCTGCACCAGCACAGGAATTTTGCTGATGTGTTTTTTTCTCAGCTCTATTGATCTTTATCACTCCAAAACACAAGTGGAGCAGCGAAAGATGAAAGCAGACATACAATAAAGAAGATTAAATATTGATTTGCGTCATGCACTAAACTTTCTTGGGTGGGCGATGCCCACAGTCACCCATTACGGAGTTTTGGACAGCTGAGGCTCTGAAAAGAATCAATAGGTTTGTGTACAATAATTTGTATTGAAGATTATTATCAATGGCTTGGGCTCTTGAGTACTATAAGTAACCTAACCTCACTGGTCAGGACCTCATGAAGATCTTGCCCTGATGTCAGAGAAGGGTAGAGCATCCCCAAACATCCCTAAGTGAGAGTCTTATGTACAAGTAGTTACCAAATAATAACTTGAGTAGAAAGTCCAGGTATCAGGACTGCCATGTATCTGTACTCTATGTAGTCCTATGTAATGTAGTGCTGTTGTGTCTAAAAAAGGGCCTAAAAATGACATTTCATTCTAATGTGTACAAGTTACATAGAAGAATGACCACTTGCAGACCACTTGCAAATCCAATGAAAAGGCAGATCTCTTTGTGTACAGATATCGTCACTGTCTGAACAAAACCTCATATCTCTGAACAGCGGCTGAAGAGTAATGCTACACTTTTAAATGTAAGTACTGAGTTTAAACTGAGTCGAATAGCTAATGATACAAATGTTAAACAAGCCAATGTGGTCTGAAGCAAAATTTACGCTAACATGCAGGCGCCAGCAGTGAAGCATAGTTTCAGTTCAGCCTTCGAAGGGTCTACGCAGCCTTTGAAGGACGTGGTCTATGGTCTACGAAGGCATGTATGCAGCCTGAATTGGGACACAGCTACTGACTCCCAAGTGGTGCCACCATGTAAGCGTTGGCCTTATCACCAGGAGATCGCAAGCTCGATCCCCAGTGATGCTACAGCTGTGGCCAGGAGTTCAAGAGAGCACAATTGGCCTCACTCTTTCTGGTTAGGTATGATGGCCCTCCCTCTCCCCCATCACTCAGCGTGATGCAAGCTAGCACAGGAGTCTCTTAGCTGGCGTAATGTAGTGGTTAGTATTCTCCTCCAAGCGCATTCAACTGTCCAAAAAGTTGCATTAGCAGCAGTTCACAAAGAAGCGGCGGCTGGCATCACACAACTCAGAGGAAGCCATTGCCCTCGTAGCACTGAGGGTGTCGTATGATTAGGGGAATCCTAACTAATGTGTGGAATTGGATATGACTAAACTGGGGAGAAATTTGGGAAAAAAAATCCCCAAAAACAGATTTACAAGGTTTTTGCGCAACAGCTATAACGTCCTTCTCCTATGAAAATTCTCAGGAGAGTTCAAATCCATTAAATTATGCTTGCATAACTGAACAAGTGTAACCAGGTACAACCCACCTCTGTTCGTTATTATGATGATGATGTTTAATCCTCTAGTCCTGCTTTTCCAAGCTTGGATCTGTCTACAATTTGTGATTGAACCACACATGTTAACCAGAACCCCCTCAGGACGTCTAAGCGCATGCTCTCAGAGTGCGCGACCTTGATGTTGTGTTAGTATTCAGGGTAGCCCTGTGATTCCATGGACACTTGCCTATTCCAGTTAGTGTGCGCTTCCAGGTAGCTCTGCACATGATGAATAGCGCTGCTCTCCAAACACACACACACACATACAGTCACAGTCTGGCAGAAGACAATGCCTGCAAGCTAAATGCCAAGACAAAGTCGTACAGCAAAATGCCCAGTGTTGAAATCCGACAGTGCTGGAATAAAATCTGCAGTGCTAAAATGATGCACAGCACTGGATTAGCATAAGTTAGATTACATCTTACAGTATTCCAGCTGGATGCAAAGGAACACTGTAGATGTTAACCCAGTAATGTATACAGTACTGTGCAAAATATCAGAGACCACCCTTTCATTTATTCAAAGTAAAATGATTATTACAATTATTCATTTTTCAGAGCGCGTTAAAAAAGCAGAAAACACATTTAACACAACAAATACACTGAAGCCTCCAGCACTAGGAACACTATCAACTCTAACAGTAGTTAATTTGTCCACACTTCTGTACATCCTACTGACACTTTAGCCCTTCCACAACTCAACGTTATGGGTCTGAAAGGATGTGCAGCTATCAAGAAGCCATTACTGAGAAAAGGAAATAAACAAAAAAGAAAATTTGCACTACAACACTGAAAATAAACATCTGAGACCTTGGATTATGAGAAGCAGAAACCAACTTCTAAGACTGAACTTTGTAGGTGTGAAAAATATCCCTGCAGATTTCTTTTAAACACTTAAACTGAGTCTCCTGAAAAGAATGGACAATGTAATAAAGGTGAGTAGACACAAAAGAGTGGATATTACATTTAGTTGTTGGGACTTTTGTGTAATTTTCTGTTGAATATATCATCAGTTTTGTCATTTTTTACTTTTTCACATAATTTGAAAACTCCAGTTACCCTTCATACTGTGTTGAAATGTCATGACCTACAGAAATGACCTAAAATTACTTAGAAAATCTTGTTACATTAACTTCTGTTACAAGTCAAGAACGCTTTTATTTTCTCCTGTAAAGTTACCATTTTGAAGATGCGATATTTCCGACAGCAGTGATATGTTTTTGGCTTTTTTCCTGACCCTGAAAAATGAAAAACTGCCTGTTTTGACAGAAAATTAAATAAATGAAAGGGGTACTCTGACTTTTGCACAGTACTGTATGTGTAAATCTATCAATGAATGCATTATTCCACCACTGTAAATGATTTCAATAATATAGGCTGTAGCTATTGTTTCTTTCTACACTGTAGGTGTTTATGTAAAACACTGACGGTATGAAATCAACACTACACTTAAAACTGCATATCAATTCAACACTCAGATATTGGGGACACTTGCATTGTACCCATAAGATTAACACACTTAACACTGCCAGTCTTTTCGAGGCAACAGCACACAACAGCAGCAGACCACACTAAGCCCCCTGTAGTCTTTTTTGGGGGGGCTTATTGTTTCAGATGCTCCAGTCAGCTTATTGGACACATCTCAGCACACAGCACCGCCACATGTTACCCAGGGATTAAAAGGTCGGAGTGTTAGGATACAAACAGCACGCTGGAAACTCTTAAAAGCACGCGCACACACACACACACACACACACACACACACACACACACACACAGGTTTGTTTATCTGTCTTTGTGGTGCAAATCATTCCTACCCTCAGAAAACAAATCAGCTTTTATCATCCTTTACATTTTTTAATTGATAATTGATGAATCATTAAATGAGTTGAAGAATGTTCATGTTAATCCAAAGCTGTAAATTATTATTATATTCAGTGATGTTGAGGTCTGGACTCAAAAAACTGGCAGCTTCTTTGTTTGGTTTGCAAATTTTCTTCTTTTTTGTCTGTTTCTCAGTGAGGCTTCTTGATAGCTACACATCCTTTCAGACCCATAGTGCTGAGTCGTCTTCTCACAGTGGAAGGATGGTCAGAAACACCTGTGGATGTTTTCAGATCTGAAGCAGCTTGATTCTCTCCTCTCTCTCAAAGATGAAAGCTTTAAATGCTGTTTATCTGATTGGGACAGTTTTGGTGGTCTTGCAGTTGTTAGGAGCCCCCTTTCCTCTATAACTTTTAGTTATTTTGTGAAATCCAGTTTTGGAAACTCCTGTTTTTTTTTTTCGTCTATTTGCCTTTGACTTTCTTCTTCCTTGTGCAAGTGGATAATCCTATATCTAATCTCCTCAGAAACATCCTGAAAATGAATACTGTGTACTTAATGGTCATTTTGACTGGAGCTAAAATAAATGAAAGGTGGTCTCTGAATCTCTGAACACAGTACTGTATGTGTTGAATGTGTTGATCTAACACTGTAACTGATTTCAATACTGTTGTTAATCTAAGACTGTAAATTATTTCGATAGCGTAGGTGTTAATCTAACACCCAGTGTGGTAATCCAACAATGAGTGTGGGGAGCTAAGAGTGGCAGTTTTTGTTAGAAAACAATGCCCCTACAGTGTCACACAGTTTCATGTTTCTCCATCATCCTGGGGACATTTGGTCCTCACTAAGAGCTAAATACACACACGCATGCACATGAGTGCACATGTGCTATTCTCATTTCTGAGGACCTTTAAGTGTCCAACGTGAAGCACGTGTGTTTTGTCAGTTGTGCATTAGCATTCTCAGATTTGCTGACAGAGGAGCCACAGTAGAGTCTACAGGCTGCTGCACAACTCCTGAATCCACAGGACAACAAATAAATAAATAAATAAATAAGCAAACAAGTAAGTAAATAAATAAAGAAGTCATTTTCTGTACTTACCCTTGACGCAGAAAGCCATCCACAGGAAAATGGCGACGTGTAGGAGTCCAAACACCCCGCGCGGCTGCTGCTGCATGGTGTGTGTGTGTGAGACTGTGTGTGTGTGGAGGCTGCGCTCCTTCAGCACAGAACCACCGACTAAAGTTTGGGCTTCCAGCATGAGAAGCGCGCGGACAGGGGAGATTCTCCTCCTCCTCCTCCTCCCGCCCTTCCTCACTCACTCTCACTCCTCCCTCTTTCTCCATCCCTCCTGCTTTTCTCTCTCTCTCTCTCTCTCTCTCTCTCTCGCTCACATTCACACTGTCGTGTCACTTATTCATGTGTATTTGTGGCGCATTTCCACTGATTCTCTCTCCCATTGACTCATATAATAATGCTAAACCTTCGGGAATGAAAAAAGAGCTTATGTAGTAAATAAATCAACAAAATAGTGCAGTAATGTTTAAATAAATAAATAAAGTAGCGCACGCACACACACACACACACACACACACACACACACACACACGTGCACTATATACATATAGGAGCATGTTCAAGAAATGTTTTGGCATTTGTAGTTTTAGATCATAAGTTCTCCAGGATTTTCTTCATTTTGCTATGAGTATGATTTGAGAGGGGGGGGCTAAGAACCACACCAGCAGTGTGTGAGTATGTGGAGAGAGAGAGAGAGAGAGAGAGAGAGAGAGAGAGAGAGAGAGCTTCACTTGTGTACAGTGTGGCTGTGGACAACAGCAGCTGGAAAATAAAGCACCATGACTTGTGTGAAAGCAGTGCCTCTTTCAGTGGCGGGAAATCCTACAGTAGATATATTGTGGCACTGGCTTCACATAGCGCTAGAACGAGTGCTCTTTTAAGGACACAGCAGAAGGGGAGAAGCAGGGTAGGTCACCAATAACCAGACACCTCTATATGATGGTAGACACACAAGCCCCCCAGTCAACCCCATAGTTCAGCACAGGATACCACATCAAACACCCGCGACACCAATAACCTCCATAACAACTCATTTACATCATTTAAGTCTCTCTCACTGCTGCCACAGCAGTACCTGTGGTGCTCTACGCCCGCTGCTTCGAATGGCCACGCCTCCTGCACGTCCACTACGTCATACACATACATATATAGAGATTTTCTTCAGTGTAACTTGGAAAAACATCTTTTTTTCTGTCTCTAAATATATTCTCTCTCTCTCTCTCTCTCTCTCTCTCTCTCTCTCTTTCTGTGCATTTCAGATAGACTGTAACTGTTTTAGTTGACTTTAACTTTTCCTTTTGACTTTATTACATTTTATTATTATTATTAATATTAAGCATAATAATAATTTTATCTCATTATTTATTGCAACTGTTTTACTTGAAGTTAATTGTTTTACTTTTCTATTGTAGTAAATAATTTTTCTAAAATTACCTTTCTTATTGCTTATTATCTAAGTTGGTTCTTTAACTTAATTTTACTGTGTTTTCATCATGTTTTATTGATGTTTTATGCCTGTTTCCTAGTTGAGCTCTTATTTAAAAAAAATTGTATTACAAATCTTTTTCTCTGTTTTAGTTGATAAATTTCATTTCAAATTTTCAATCCCTGTGTAATTTGCTCGGCTACACAGTAAATGAGGGTCACCCTCAATGTACTTCCGAGTCAAAATATAGTTTGATTGACTGATTGATGTCCATTGACTCAGGAGGACCTCTAGAAACATCACAATTTTCATGTTTTCCTTTCATTTCAGGGATATTTGTTCTATCTTTAATCTTCAGGAATGAAAAAAATACCTAATTTAGTAAAAAGACTCCATTAGTGTTTTCCACAGCACATCATCACTGTTGCACATGAACTCGTATCTCCATTTTTTTCCTTTTATTTATTTATTTATTTGTTTATTTCTTCCTTCATATGAAAACTTCAGTTACCATATTTTGTGTTAAAATGGACCAAAATATTCCAAAAGTACTTTTTTGTTTTGTTCTGTGAGACATTTTCTCCAGTTGAATGTCAAGAAACATTAGAATTTATGTTTTACCTGAAATTTTTTTTGCTCTCACTCTTTGTTTCTCTCATTTTCTGTAGCTTTTATTTGCTTCTTTTTCTGTTTGTCACCTCCTTCTCTCTCTCTCTCTCTCCTTTTCTCTCTTCCTCTCTCTCTCTCTCTCTCTCCTTTTCTCTCCTCTCCTCTCTTGCCTTCCTCTTTCCTTTCCTTCTCTCTCTCTCTCTCACTCTCTCTCTCTCTCAGCTTCTAACTCTATATTTGTGGGATTCCTGTAAAACTGCTAAACCTGTTAGATTCAGGAATGCAAAAATACATCTCCAAACTCATTTAGTATTTTCCCAAAAATTCTTTTTTTTTTTATTAAAATAAAACAACATGTTTTTCTTCACAGGGACGTCAAGAAATGACAACATTTCACATTTTAATGAAATCAAGGGGATATTTGGTCCCTACAAAGTCCTAATACATGCACACACAAATGCACACATTTCACTCTCTCCCCTTCTCTCTCTCTCTCTCTATCTCTCTCTCTTGTGTGCACGCATTCACTCTCCATCTCTGCTCACGTCATCTTTACTCCATTAACTTTGTTATTATTCGGCTTCACTGATCAAGCAGTAAGACGGTGTATGCTTTGTCAATAAATAAACAACTTAAACACACACGCACATGTGCACACACACACACGGCGCTGCCTGAATTCACGAGCAGAAAGCCATCTGGAGCCAGCCATCCAAAACAAACTACACTGCTGTATCACCTGGCTTGAGATATTTGATGGTCTTTTAACTTTAGAGGACATTTATGGATCAGGATCACCCAAACACACTGATACTGTGAGCGAGTGTGTGTGAGTGAGTGAGTAGGCAGTCATTGTCTTTTCTTACAGTTGTTGGAATGAATCTGACATATTGTGGGCACTAGAGTTGTTTAGCGATCTATATACACTCAAAAAATAAACAATAATTGGCCCTCATGAACATTAAACAAACAGTTTGAATAAAACTAAATAATTAAAACTTACAAACCCTAATTCCAAAAAAATTAGGAGTAGGTGTTTTTGCCAAAAAATGTGCCAGCAATTCAAGAGTAACATTCCTCAAAGAGCATTTGCAAGGATTTGAGGTATTTCACTCTTTTCAGTGTAATCAAAAGATTCAGAGAATCTGGACACATCTGTGTGCATAAAAAGCACAGCCAATAATGAATATTGAATGCTCGTGTCCTTCGATCATTCAGACGGCACTGCATTAAAAACTGGCATGCTTCAGCGATGAATATAATCACATGGGCTCAGGAACACATCAGGAAAGCCTTGTCAATGAACACGGTAAGTTACTGCATCTACAAATGCAAATTAAGACTGTACTTCGCAAAACAGAAGTCATATATCAACCACATCCAGAAACGCCGCCAACTTCTCTGGGCTACAGCTCATCTGAAATAGACTGATGCAAAGTGGAAACGTGCTGTGATGTATTGAGTCCACCTTTCACATTGCTTTTTGGAACCCCAGGCCAAGGAGGAAAAAGACCATGCAGATTGTTACCAGTGTAAAGTTCAAAAGCCAACGTCTGTCATGGTATGATGATGTGTTAGTCCCAATGGCATGGGTAACTTGCACATCTGTGAAGGCACCTTTAATGCTGCAAAGTTCATATGCATATTGAAGCAATATATGCTGCCATCTAGATGGCATCTTTTCCAGGGACACCCCTGATTGATTCAGCAAGACCACATTCTGCATGTGTTACAAGAGTGTAGCTTTGTAGTAAGAGAGTGCAGGTGCTGTCTCCCATTGAAAACGTGTGGCACATTATCAAGTGCAATAAATGACAAAGGGGACTCTTGGACTGTTGAGCAGCTAAAATGTTATACCAAGAAAGAATGGGAACAAATTCCATTTTCCACAGCTACAACATTACTGAACGTTGTTAAAAAGAAAAGGTGATGTAACAAAGTGGTAAACATAACCCTGTCCCAACTTTTTTGAAAACTGTTGAAGGCGTCAAATTGATAAATTGAAAAAAAGGGTATACACAAGAAGATGATGAAAATTAGAGGACAAATTTGTTTTTCAGGGTTTGGGCTCAGCCCCTTAGTTTCAATGAACGGTTAAATTACAAAGACATTTCAGACAATTACAGTGCTGGTTGAAAGTTTATAACCGCTTTATCCTTTCATGAACTTCTACAAAAATATGACAAAATATGATCAGATCTTCATTGAAGACAAACCAATAGATAAAGAGAATTAAAGAAAACAAATAACAAACAATTATACAGTTTTTAATCCATTTACTGAACAAAGTGATCCAACGGTAAATGTGTATGTTTGGCAAAAGTATGCGAACCTCTACAATTATCAGTTTGGTACAGATAATAATTAGGGTCAGGAGGTTCAATCAATTGGATGATAATCAGGTGTGAGTGTGGCTGACCCTACCCTATTTGAAAAAAACAACAACAATCTGAGCCTTTAGCATCAAAGTCCTGTCTTTACCACACACTGAGGACACCAGAAAATTACTTGCCAAAGCTAATTAGGCTGGAAGACATTCAAAACAATTTCTGATGATTTTGGACATAATTCAACACCATTGTTACCCTTCCCAGGAGTGGTCATCCAATGAAAACGACTCCAAGACTAAAGCATAGAATATTCTGGGAGAGCACAAAGAACCCCAGGGCAACATCTAGGGATCTGCAGGCCTCTCTTACACTACCTAATGTCAGAGTCCACAATCAGGCAAACACTGAACAAGAGTAGTATGTATAGAATGATAGCATGGAGAAAGCCACTGCTCTCCAGGAAGAACACTCCTGCCATTTAAAGTTTTCTAAAGACCACCTGGATGAGCCAGAAGACTACTGAATTAATGTTACGTGGAGGGATGAGGCAAAAATGGATCTTTATGGCTTAAATGAGAAATGTTATGTTTGGCAAAACTGAACACTGCACTCCAGCATAAGAATGTCATCCCAACTTTGAAACATGGTGGTGGCAGCATCATGGTTTGGGGCTGCTTTGCTGCTATGAGACCAGGGCAGCTTGCCATCATTTGATGGAGCTATGAATTCTGGATTGTATCAAGAGATTCTACAAGAGAATGTTAGGGCATCAATCAATGAACTGAACCTCAACAGAAGGTGGATCCTGCAGAAAGACAACAACCCTGAAAATACCAGTTATTCTACAAAGAA